TATATATATATATATATATATATATATATCATATACACATACATACATACATACATACATGTACACACAGAAAGAGACATATAAGTGTATGTATATGACAGGAAAAGAGAGACAGAGGGAGGGAGGAATAGAGAGCTGGGTGACTTTCAGTTGAGAGCAGTCACTCATTTAGCCAAACCCTCCTCACAGGATTACTGTTGTTGGGAAAATAAGAAGATGAAGGTGTGGTTAATAAGTTTTCCACTTTGAGTTATTTGTAAAAATAATAAAGGCAGGATACAAATAAATAAATAAAATTTTATTAAAAACTTTGATTATAATAATAAAATCTAATCTCTTGGTCTGTCACTTATAAGTCCACTTTCAATACCGTGTTTCCCCAAAAATACGACATGTACTGATAATAAGGCTATGCCACATTTTTCTGGTGGGCAAAAATATAAGCCCTCCCCCACAAATAAGCCCCCTGGACAACCCCCCACCTTTGGCCAGGCAGAACGCCACTCACAAACCTAGCGGTATCCCGAAGGTGCCAAGCCAGGGGGAAGGCAAAGGATCACGTTGCTTGGTGCCTTCGGGATACCGCTAGGTTGGTGAGGAGCACTGTGCCCAGCTGAAGAGGGTTGCCAGGCAGCTGTTCTCTTGCGAGCAGGCTCCCAAAGAGCTGGGCACAGTCTCATGGGTGAATGGCTGTGTTGCGCTGTCGTAGCAGCACAACACAACAGCCATGAAGTGAGCATGCTCATGAGCAGCCACCCGGGAACCCCCTTTCCAGCTGGGCACAGCGCCATTCAGTGATCTAGGGGTATCGCCAAGCCGTGGGAGCGCCTGTTTGCCACCGCCCACCACTGCACGAGCGAGAGCGGAACAGCCGCTCATGCAACCCCCCTCTCCAGCCATGCAGAGCGCCTTTCACTGGCATTTTAAAGGCGCCAAGCCGCGGGAGCTGGGCAGCGGCAAACAGGCACTCACACGGCTTTGGCGATACCCCTAGGTCAGTGATTGGCACTGTGCCCGGCTGGAAAGGGGGTTTGCCAGGTGGCTGCTCGTGAGTGTGGTCGCTTCATGGCTGTTGTGTTGCGCTGCTACGACAGCGCAACACAGCCATTCACCCATGAGACTGTGCCTGGCTTTTTGGGAGCCTGCTCGCAAGAGAGCAGCCGCTCGGCAACCCAAAAATAATAAACCCTCCCCTCATAATAAGGCCCAAGCCATATTTTGTGGGTAAAAAGAAAATAAGAACCTGTCTTATTTTCGGGGAAACACGGTACCTTCTCTATGTTGTCAGTAAAAAAAATTCTATATCTTTCATAACCTCCATAACATAATTTGCACGTAGTGTAACCATAGAAACAGACATTATTACTGACACTGTTGTTATGTGGGTACTATTTTCTGATTCCATTATTCAAAAGTCTCCTTCAGAATTATTATTGTCATAATAACTTATCATCTTATAAGCTTGTATAATATTTCCCCTACCTAAATGTTTTTGTCTAATGTACAGTTTTTGAAATCAAGAAATTATTTATCTTTGTTATGTCTTACAAAAACAATACAGGTAATCCTCGACTTACGATCACAACTGAATCCAGAATTTATGTTGCTTAGAAATTTGTTAAGTGAATCACTGCAGTAACACAGTTGTTAAGTGAATCTGACTACTCCATTGACTTTGCTTGTCAGAAGGTCACAAATGGGGATCACATGACCCCGAGACACTGCAACCATTGTAAATATGAACCAATTGTCAAGCATCCAAATGTAAATCACATGACCATGGAGATGCAACGGTCATAAGTTTGAAAAATTGTCATAAGTCCCTTTTTCAATCCCATTGTAACTTCAAGTGGTCACTAAATGAACTGTTGTAAGTTGAGGACTACCTGTATCCTCATGAGAATCTGTTCATACATTATAATTAATTCCAAAATTTTATTGTAAAAGTTTCAATATTCCAATTTTGTCTGGACCCTTAGTCCATTTATAACTTTATAAGATCAAAATCAAAATCTTGTATAACCTTTTACTATGTATTTCAGCTTGTTTAAATTCTTAACCTTATGATTAAAATATTTTTTCATTCAGGATTGAAGACAGGCTCATTTTCAAATTTCTCCTACAAAAGGTCTCTAATAGCTTAGAAATTAATGAGCGGTTTAGTGGTTAGAAAGTGAGATTTATGAATCTTTAAAGGTCTTTTCCCTAATTGTAAGCAAGATGGCTATTCCTACTTTGAGGTAAGATGGGTAGACTATAAATGTTATGAATGAGTGAATGAAAGAAATATCATCTTCCAACACTCAAGTCAATAGCAAAATGCCATGAAGTCCTGCAGTCACAATGTGAGGAACAGCTGTCTGGAGATTATTGGTCGATCCCCCCCAATCTGCCCTCCTCTCCTTATTGAGAGAGTTTCCAAGGAACCAGACTCCTCACTGGTTCTCTTGTCTTTGCTGTGGTTCTCAGTTCACCATACCTCCTAACAATTGCCTTAACTCAATTTAGATTATGGAACTACAGGCATGCAGTTTCTGGCATGTTACCTGAAAGCAATTTGCCTCTTAGAATGAGTGAAACTTCAAGGATACAGATTAAACATTAGGAAGGACATTTTGATAGTGGAATCATTTACCTCAAGGAGAGTTTCTTCCCATTCAATCAGAAGACAGATAGTCACCTATTAGGGATGTTATAGTTAATCCCACAGTGTGCATGGGAGCAGACTTGGTGGTCTTTTGGGTCCCTATGATTCTGTGAATGAATCAGGTCTATTCTACTATCTTAAATTAATTGAATTATGTATAATGCATGTGTTCATGTATGAGCATGTATATGTACACACAAACTACACATACACTTTGTCTAGCATCTGTAATTTTTTAAGTAAAGGTAGCAGTACAACTTACAGAATTTTCAAAAAAATTTAAAGGTACCATGCAATTAATTTCACATTACACAAACTTTAGTATTAGTGAGTTTTTAAACAATACCTATCACACATTTTTGGATTTTAAAAGATTTACCTTCTTTTAATGCTTCCTGCAAAGCTATTAACGTATGTTGAGTTCACCTAGAAAAATTAAAGAAAATTCCAGAAATGTTATTTTCTGAAACTATATAAAAGATCCAATCTGGGTTAGTCACCAGGACCCAAGGTTTAGTCTTCTGAACTTTGACATGCTGGAGCCCATCATCAGGGAACATCTCTCTAGCAGTGTGTGTCTAATTTTCCATTATATTATGATTATGATTATTGTAAAATATAGATAGCATTATAGCTTTGAATTATCTTCTTAGACTGAAACATTTGATCAAAATTGACACATAGTGGAGAGAAATACACAGTTGTTGAAATTCTTTTTTTCCTCATTAATCTACTCAGTATTCCATAATGACAAAGTGAAAACAGAATATTAGAAATTTCTGAAAGAAAGAAAAAACGGAAATATCACATTGGCATAAGCATTCTGACCTTCACTTCAGAGGTGGGTTCCTCCTGGGTCAGCCCAGATTGGGTGAACCAGTAGTGGCAGCGGTGGGAGGCTCCGCCTACCCACTCATCATGCGCATGTATGAGAAAGAGACCGTGCACGAGCAAACCGGTAGTAAAAAAAATGGAAACCCACCACTGCTTCACTTAGTACTTTGTTGAAGCACCTTTGGCAGCAATTACAGCCTCGAGTCTTTTTGAGTATGACACAATAAGCTTTGCACACTGGGATTGGAAGATTTTCTGCCATTCTTCCTTGCAAATCTTCTCAAGCTCACTCAGTGAAACAGGTTTTCATTGAGGATATCACTCTACTTTGCTCCATTAACTTTTCCTAATCCCTGACCAGTCTTCCAGTCCCTGCTGCTGAAAAACACTGCCATCATCATGCTTCACTGTTGGGTGATGAATGGTGCCCGGTTTCGTCTAGACATAATGTTTAGAATTGAGGCCAAACAGTTCAATCTTGGTTTCATCAAACCAATGAATCTTCTTCCTCACAGTCCTTCAGGTGCTTTTTTTTTTTGCAAACTCCAAGCAGGCTTTCATGTGTTTTCCGCTGAGAAGAGGCTTCTGTCTAGTCACTCTGTCATAAAGCCCAGATCAGTGAAGACTGCACTGATGGTTGTCCTTCTGGAACTCTGTCCCATCTCCATACAGGATCTCTGGAGCTCAGTCAGAGCAGCCATTGGGTTCTTGGTCACTCTCTTACTAAGTCTCTTCTCCCCCAATTGCTCAGTTTGACCTGGTGACCAGCCTTGGTTTTACCAAACTTCTTCTATTTGAGAATTCTGGAGGCCACTATGCTCTTAGGAACCTTTAGTGCAGCAGAAATTTTATTATAGCCTTCCCCAGATTTGTGCCTTGCAATAATCCTGTCTCTGAGCTCTGCATTTCTTTGACCTCATGGCTTTTGCATTGTCAGTTATGAGGCCTTATATAGAGAAGTGTGTGTCTTTCCAGATCATGTCCAATTAATTTAATTCACCACAGGTGGACTCCAATTAAGGGGTAGAAACATGTCAGCAATGATCAAGAGGAATGGGAGGTACCGGACCTAAATTTCAAGTATTGTTGCAAAGGGTATGAATATTTATGCCAATGCATATATTTATTCCAGCCTTTTCTTTTTAATAAATTTACTGACATCTGTTTTCACTTTGTCATTATGGGGTTACTGAAAATAGATTAATGAGAAGAAAATTGACAAACATGAAGAAGGTTTGAATACTTTCTCAATGCACTGTATTTGGTTCAAAATCAAAGTAAAATAATAAAGTAAATGTATAGGATTGTAGAATATAGCTAGACTGCAAAATATGCAGACAACATCCTGGCAAATTTGCTAAAAGATTATTAAAAAGCCAAGGTCAATAAACTGCAAATTTAAGATGCATAATGCCTATATCAAGGCATAGTAGGAAGAATATATGTCACCTTCTTAACAATCATTAATTCAGTGACTATTCAGAGTTACAATGATGCTGAAATAATGGTAGTGACAGCTGATCCCCAACGTCATGGCCATTGTAGTGATCCTGCAGCCACGTGATCAATTTTTTTAATGCTTTATAGCCTGTCCCCATTTACAAGCACAGTGTGTACTTCAAATCATTTTCCTCTCCCCCATCCTGATCTCTGCCATTTTGCCTGCCTTCCAATCCACCACCACCAACTACTCCTGCTGCCATGAAGGCCTCCGAAAGGGCCAGAAGATGCCTCAGCACATTTTGTCAGCAGCAGAAAGAAGAAGATGGCAAAAGTCAAGGGGGACCAGGGCAGGAGAGGTGGTAGAGTTCAAGGCGCTAGAAAGGACAGCGATAGAGAGATCAGTGGGAGGGGGACTTGAAGTGCAGGTGATGGCAGCAAGGCAGGAGAGGCATCAGGTCCTCCCCTACTACTGCAGTCAGAGGTGGTATTCAGCCAGTTCTGACAGGTTCTGGAGAATCAGTAGCAGAAGTTTTGAGTAGTTTGTAGAACTGGCAAATAAGCTTGGCCCACCCCCATTGCCTCCCAGCCAATCTTCTTTTGTTGACATGAACAGGAGAACAGAGCTGGAAACCAGATTAGTGGAGTGGGGAGGGAATGAGGATTTTGCAGTAACCTTCACCCAGGAGTGCCAAGTGAATAGGGATTTTATAGTATCCTTTCCATGCCACACCCACAAAGCCACATCCACAAAACCAAGCCACTCCCACAAATGGTGGTAAAAAAAATTGAATCATACCACTGCACAGTCCTTGCCGAATGACTGCAACTAGGACTACCAGAACTGCCATTGCTAAGCAATGCCAGCATGTCATGTTTTCCTTAATAATCACTTCACTTAGCAGTGGAAATCCAAGTCCCAATTAGGGTAATTAAGCAAGGATTACTATATTGGCAAACTCATAATATATATGCAATTCCTTCAACAGAATACAACTTAAGTTATTAATATGTGGTACTATGTTTAAAATAACCTGATATCCAAAAATGAATCTGACACAGAGTTTAATTTACATAAAAACCTTTCCTAGACTGTAACTCTACCCATAAAAGTTGTGATTTCTCTTAACATTTAAATCAAAATTATTAAATAAGGAAAGTTTCTTATTAAATTAATTGCAATTTTTTTACAGAATATTACTGCAGTTGATACTTTCATAACTTGATTTTATTAATGAACTGATATAAATTTAATATTACATAACATGTTTAATATCTATTTTCATGTAACTACTAAAGATAGATGGCTGTAATGGAATTTTATTAGTATAATTTTCATGTCATTTTAAACATTAAAATATTTATATAAAATAAAAACTGTCCCTTATATGAATAATGTCTTGTTGCTATAGCAGTTGTACTGTCACGTCTTCTGAAATACTCATTCCCTGCTACATAATTTCAATATATGGTATCAGATTATAATCCATCAATTCAAAATTTTTAATAGAAACCTTGCATCTACAGATGAGGAATAATTCAAAAATGATAGATCAGCTATGAATTTTTCAATTTTAAGAATTACTTTTTTATAATGATTTTGAATATCATAATATAATCTATAATAAAATATAAAAAAGAGCCAGTTTGTATAGTGGTTAAGGCACCCAGCTAGAAACTGGAAGACTGTGAATTCTAGTTCTACTTTAGGTTCAAAGCCAGCTGGGTGACTTTGGGAGTAGACATTTCCCTCATCCATAGTGAAGAGACAATGCCAAACAACTTATGAAATCTTTCCAAGAAAACTGCAAATAATTATCAAGGCAGTTACCAGGAATCAATGGTGACTCAAAAGCACACCCACACACAAATGCACACAAAACATGAAGGGAGAAAACAAAGCATTTATAAAAGGACCTTGAACAGGTTGATGGAGAAAATGAATTTTAAAAATACTTCCATAAGCTTTGATTAATATTCAGTTGCAGAGTACTAATATAACAATGGATATAAATGATTAAGTTTCCTTTTTTGTTAGCTTAAATGAATCACCTCATTTTATCTTACCTCTGCTATAAGGACAATTATCACACAATTTTTCTTCCGATATTTAGATATTCCATTGAAAAGAGAATTCAATGTATTCATCAAATAACTTTCCTTTTTTCTTCGCACTGATGATATACCAATTACTAGGAATGCTAACATACAGAAATTATTTTATTTTATATAATAGCAATATCTAAAATAAGCAATTGTCAAAAATAACAAAACTCATTATAATTTGGGAACTTATATAGACGTTTGTACAATAATTTTTTGAAAAACATATACAGGTAGTCCTCAACTTACAAAAGTTAATTTAGTGACTGCTGAAAGTTACAATGGCCCTGAAAAAATGACTTATGACTATTTTTCACATTTACGACTGTTGATGCATTTCCTTGAACATGGGATCAAAATTCAGATGCTTGTCAATCAACTCATATTTATGATAGTTAGAGTGTCCTGGTGTCATGTGATCACCTCACCTTTTGTGACTTTCTGACAAGCAAAGTCAATTAGGAAGCCAGATTCACTTAACAACCATGTTATTAACTTAATAAATGTGATTCACTTAACACAACAATGATCAAGAAAGATCATTAAAATGGTGCAAAACTCACTTAACTGTCTCGCTTAGCAACAGAAATTTTGAGCTCAGTTGTGGGTATAAGTGGAGGACTATCCGTAAAAAGAAGTGAATATAAAGTGTATGTATAATATCTTGATTATTTCAATAATTTACAAATAATATCATTTTTCATAGATCATTCATTGATTTTCCCCCAATTTATAAGCTATTGTATATATACCCAAGAAATCTATCTTGTATTATTTAAGTTCTTTACAGACATTACTCTACTTATGAACTTTCAATTATAAATTTTCACCAATACAAACAAACCTGTTAACAATTCAATGTAGAAGTTCCCAAAGTTAGGAGAAGGCAGGAAAGGGTTAGTTTACAGCCCACCACATATGCCTGTGATGCACCATAAACTAAATAATGCTTTCCCACCTTCTTCCAACTTCCACTCACAACTTCACTTCCTGATCCTCCCTCATACTGTTTG